ATCATTGTTGTTTGGCGGGTCCGGGCTGGGGATTCGAACCCGCCACCTTAGGTGTACGTGGCTGGCGCCTTAGCCGGTTGAGCTATAGGCGCCGAGTCTCTCTTTTGTATTTTAATCCTCAGCCTCCTGGAGTGCCAGGATTATAGGCATTGAGCCACCTGACCTCATCAGAGCGCGGGGGTGGGGTGGGGAGTCCGTATCCAGGTTCAATTGAAAGTATAATCCCTAAGGAAGTGAAAAAGGTTAAGTGTATGATTATGGCTATACTGTGTCTTTCATCTCTCCGGCTCTTGGCTCTTCCCCTTTAGCGTATTGCTTAAACTACTCCTTGAAAGCAAATGAGGACTTTCTTTAACTATATACTACAACCCTCCCTCCATTACTGTTTTCTTTTTTTGAGACAGAATATCTGTCACTGGGGCTAGAGTGCCATGGCATCAGCCTAGCTCACAGCAATCTCAAACTCCTGAGTTCAAGCAATTCTTCTTCCTCAGCCTCCTGAGTAGCTGGGACTACAGGTGCCTTCCGCAAGGCTCAGCTATGTTTTTTTTGGCCGGGGCCAGGTTTGAACCCGCCACCTCAGGTATATGGGGCCGGCGCTCTACTCCTTTGAGCCATAGGTGCTGCCCTAATTTTTCTATTTTTAGTAGAGATGAGGTCTCATTCTTGCTCAGGCTGGTCTCAACTCCTGAGCTCAGTCAATCCTTCTGCCTCAGCCTCCTGGAGTGCCAGGATTATAGGCATTGAGCCACCCTACCTAGCCACCCTTACTATTTTCTATCTTTGTCTTTACAGAGTCTCAAAAGTGTAATTCACACTAGCTCCACCTCCTCATCTCCTATTCCTTTTTAACCAGATTACAATCTGATCTGACTATCATCTCCTAATAAACACTACTTTTGCCAAAGTTACCACTGACTCCCTAGTCTCTCAACTCCCAAAGTATTTTTTTGATCCCATTTTCCTTGACTTCTCTACAGCATTCCATGCTGCCTACTTTTGCATACTTCTTATTCTCCTCTCCTGCCATTATTTGATTTCGGGGATCCTACTTGCTGCTGGCTTGCCTCTGGTTTCTCTGGCTGCTTGCCTTTCTCAATCTCATCTCCTCAGTCTCGTTCTTTGCCTGCTTCCCTTTATTGCTGAGTTTTTTATGGATTTCTGCATTATACCTGTTTTTACTCTAATCTGAACATACTCTCCAAGAGATTCCTCTAGATGCAATTGCTCCAACTATATTTGCCCAAATCTTTACTCCTACTCTAGATCTCTCTCTCTACAGCTACTAAACTGTCCTTGTCATCTCCTTTTAGAAATTCTTCAGAAATCTCCAACTGGGCATTCAAAAGCTTACTGTATCTTTTCCTACTTTCCACCCTACAGCCAATTACCACTGTCAATCAATAGTGTTCTACCAGGCTGGATATGGTGGCTCATGCCTGTAACGCTAGCACTCTGGGAGGCTGAGGCAGCTGGATCACTTGAGCTCACGAGTTAAGAGATCAGCCTGAGCAAGAATGAGACCTGTCTTTGCTAAAAATAGAAAAAGAGGGCGGTGCCTGTGGCTCAAAGGAGTAGGGGGCTGGCCCCATATGCTAGAGGTGGCGGGTTCAAACCCAGCCCCAACCAAAAATTGCAAAAAAAAAAAAAAAACAAAACAGCCAGGCGATGTGGTGGACGTCTGTAGTCCCAGGTACTTGGGAGGCAGAGGCAGGAGACTCGCTTGAGCCCAGGAGTTGGAGGTTGCTGTGAGCTGTGATGCCTCAGCACTCTACCCAGGGGGACAGCTTGAGGCTCTGTCTCAAAA